TGGCTTCCTTATAAAAGCCGTTTGGAGCCAAATTTGAGCTGATGTGAATTTCTGCAGCCATGCAAGGTACTGGCAGGGGTGCCAGGTCTCCTAACACCTCTGCCGAGGACAGAGCCCTGACAGTAAGGCTTGGATACAGCTGCTTGGCTATGGAAGCCCATTCCATGAAGCCCTCTACACACTGCTGTGCTAATCTGAAGGCCACATGAAGTTTGGAGGGCTTTAGCTATTGACTCTGCAGACAGTTGGTGACTTTTGCACACTGTGCGCTTCAGCATGCATTGACCGCACTTTGTCATTTTACGTGGCCTACCACTTGGTGGCTGAGTTGCTGTTGTTCCCAGTTGTTTCCACTTTGTTATAATACCATTAACAGTTGACTGTGGGAGGACCACACCCAAGAAGGAGCCTGACTATGGCTTGGAGCGGGAGCTCGATGTGAGGGCTCCCGGCTCCAAAGCACCTCCAGTGTCCTGCTGAGAAGGGGAGAGATGTGCGGGAAGCCCTGGAGAGACTAGCCGGGGAGAGGGGGAGCTTGCCTGGCAGGGTGCGTGGACCGAGGACCTCCAGAGTGGTGGCCATCGCGGCGGGTCTTCCTGTGCTCTCGGCCCGGCGCTGTGTGTTCCCCGGAGCGCAGTGGATGCCGGGCGATCACGTGATCTGCCACAAGGGAGATCACGTGAGGCAGAGGAGCCGGCCGGCATTTCTTGGAGCAAGGGAAATGCCGGCTCTTCCTCCTGCACACAGGACCGTGGCAGCTGGAGACACGCGGAAACGGGCTGGGTGAACTCCCCCTGCAATCCACTCATTGTGTGATGTCTTGGAAATTTGTTTTCAACAAATTTTTCCTTACCGTGAGTAGCTCTTTTGAGATGTGGGGGGAAATGGAGCTCACGTGACCCAGGAATAATCAGATAATACTCTCAGGTTGGAGGTTGAATTCACTCTGTCTCTGGCCCCAGACTCTTGTTTTATTAAAAGCACACACACGCCCCCCCACACGGGGGGTCAGGTCAATCCCCTCCCACAGAACAATGTATAGGGGGTGTCCATACATGAGAATGTACATCCTGTTTGGAGTGTAGCATTTCCTCTTATCTATACTGAAAAGTAGTTAAACCAATCCTCCCCTCTCCCATAAGCTCTCTGTGGAGAGCAAGCTTCCCATCCTTTACATGCTATCAGCTCCTAGTAGTATGTTCACTCTCTGTACAAGCATCCCTTAGATTAAACAGTGCCAGTCTGTATCTGAATGGGCCCGATACGATCTTTATTAAAACACATCCATCCAGATACAGTTCAGGTCGGTAGTGGCTTGTAAGATATACATGAGCCTACACGCGGAGTTCGCACTGCCCGGCGCCTGGCCATACGAAGTCCATGTGGTACTATGCTGCTGAAATGTGCCGCCGACCGCCGGCGGCATTTGCATCGAATGCCGTGGTGGCATACACACCAGTCTATAAGCGCAGATCTGCTATCTCATCCATTACCGAGCTGAGTACTGTAATATATACATTGTAAATGCGCATGGCCTAAATTGCAGCCTTCAGAGCTTTAATTAAGCCACACAAGAGACATATGAATAACACTAATATATGACACATTTAAAGTTCAACCTGTAAATAGAAAATTTCCATGACATTCCCTCCTGTTTTATCAGATTCTCCTTGTGTCCCTTCTTGATCTTCTTTAGCTTGAGCTTGATGGGTGTAGTCTCGAAACCTCAAAGAGTTGGTCTTAGACCAGAGTTCCTGTAGTTGTCCCTGAGAATAAAGATACCTGAAACAACAAGATCCGACGCAGACTCGACACAAACAGGCTTGATTGAAGCAATGATCCTCAAGAGCGTTGGAGCCTTCACTACAGGAAGGCTCTTGCAAAAACCACAAACGGAACTTTTTCAAACTGGTCCGGCAAATGGAACCGGACTTGTGGTATAAACAAGGCTTGTGATCCCACGGTGGTCCGGGGAGATCCAGCAGCCAATTCTCAAATTGCCCCTGCAAATGGGGCCACACAAGGCTGGTCTCGACGCAGACGGTTTTCCAAAAAGTGGAACAAACAAATCTTGCAGCTTTATACACAAACAATGATGAGGCTTGAAGCTTGCTTGGAGGTCTTGGGGAACATGGTCTTCAGGGAGATGAATTAGAGGGAAGCCAGGACGTAACCTGCAGAGAAGGTGGCTGGTTGGTGAGGTCTTCCTCCGATCAGTGGTTGGAGTGGGATCCCAGGAGCGGGCATGGAAATGTGGTCGTCTGCCTGAGCTTGGCTTACACGGTTGATGAGGCAACAGAAACATCTCAGTGCGGCATACAAAAGACAAAGGAAAAAGAGAAGCATCAGGACATACACTCCCACTTCCTTCAACCAAGATCCGATGGAGAACAGGAAATCTCCCAATCCTCCCAAACCCTTGAACGGATTCCAACCCTCCCTAGCTATAGCTCTAGCTTTTCCCTGTAGTTCACTAACTTTGTCCATATGGGCCTGGACCTTGTCATCGGTGTCTTCTATCCAAGTACAACAATCCTCTCCGATGAACTCACAGAACCCCCCTTTGGCGGCTAAAAGGTAATCAAGGGCCATCTTCTCCTGAAGCACTAAAATTCCCATCTGCTGTTGTTCTTGGGCAATTTCTCTGACAGCCTCTACGGTCTTGTTAAACATACTATCCACGATGACAGAAAAATTGTTCAGGCGCTTCATAAGTTCTGTTCCCCAACCTGTCCATGAGGGGAACCAAGCCCATGCCTGGTCGCTCTCAGAGAAGAGCTCCCTGCGAACTCTCCCTGCCATCCCTACCTTCTTGTGTACCATCAACTCTTCATGATCCATCACTACATAGGATGCGGGGACTACCTTTATGAACCTTTTGCATTCTGGGGAAATGTTCTATAGGCTGCCGAACCACACAGAAAATAGTACGGACCTGTCAGAGCAGAGCAGGAGGAGTTCTTCGTTCGGCCTCTGGCACTGAGCAACAGTTGCACAGACTGGGGGATTGCTCCCTCAGTCTGCACATCACATCCGTCCTTCCAACAAACGTGGTCTGGTCGGTCATTGTGGTTACTCAGAAGGGAAGTCTGGTTAGTCAGATTGACAGTTATACCTCCCTCACAGGTGGTAGTCCCAACAAACTTGTTACCTGTGCCAAAGCTGATGTTAAAGCACACCTGAGGGCTGCCTAGCTGCCCAGTTACCCATAGTGGACTGACGAGGGCCCTACAGGAGCTAGAGCTAATGTTGATACTGAAACTGATGTTACCTGCTAAAAATGTGTCATTAAGTTCTACAGACAAATGTCTACGTGGGGGCTGACCAGGGGTCCCTTGCTTTTTCATGCCGACACTGATGTCATATAAGGCATGAACAGCGGCCATTGCGGACATGTGATGACTGGGTGGGGGCTTAGAGCATACCCAATAGTTGGTTTTGTTGGCGGTTCTGGCTAAACGCAGATGCATTTTAAATAAAAGGTTGGGGTATATGCCATCTTTTCCTCCGTTCACACACATGTAAGACATACAAACAAAAAGAAAAAAGGAAAATGACACCCCTCATTCTCTGGTGTAGCTGAAAAGCTTCTTGCAGTGGCTTGCATGCACCCAGTTGTCTCGTCCCTCGAGCTTGAGTGTGGTAGGTGTCGTCAGCTGGACTTGGTATGGTCCGTGAAGGTGCAGTCCGGTTTAGATCTGTTCGATGTTTCTTGAAAGTAGGTGTTCCAATCGACAACCCCAGCTGGTCATAATTAGTATGGTCTTTGTTATTGGTGAACCGTGGCTCGAGTCCGGTTCTTTGATGTTTCTTTAGGATGACCCAATCACCTGGCTCAATAGAAAGAACACCCGTTTATTGCATTTGGTTCCGGGAGCGATTCGCGAACCCGATGGTGTATCTTCTGCAGCTCCCATTGCAGAGATTGCACGTAACCTGTGAATACAAAGACGACAACTGTTGAGGAAAGTACAACCCTGTTTTGGGAGGTCCCCCCAAACAACACCTCGTAGGGTGACAGCCCATGTGGTTGCCGAGGGGCATTCCGGATGGAATGGAGGGCAATGGGGGAGACACTCAGGCCAAGGTTTTTTGGGTATCGGCCATGATTTTGGAGATCCTGTTTTTAAGGATTCCATTGAGACGTTCAACCTTACCGCTACTCTCGGGGTGATACGGGTGTGTAGCCCTTAGTTGATGTGAAGGGCTTTACATACCTCTGCAAAGATCTGTCCAGTGAAGTGTGACCCCCCTATCGGACTCGATGGTTTCAGGTAGACCCCAGCGGAACACAACCTCACATAGGGTTTTCTTCGCCGTGGTACTAGCGTTGGCACACGTAACGGGCCACGCAACTCACATGCCCTGGCCAGTGCCCACAGCTCAGCTTCCTGAGCTGACATATGTGCAGTCAAAGAGCCCTTTTCCACAACCAGTGTGTAGCTTACCATCTTGGGTGTAGTACCTGGACCCATCGACAAAAAGATTTTTTGCTTCCGGTAGTGGCTCTTCCTTCACCGGGGCTGATCGCTGCTGACTCCAGTTCCATCAAAGAAATGCAGTTGTGTCCTTTGGAAGAAAGGTTAGTAGTGGAGAAAGAAGACAAGTGAGCAGAAGAGGTGTTAGTATCGTTAGTCGAGTTGCAAGATTTAGCACTGTCGTTGCTGTCCTCCCCCCCCTTCTCGTCTTCCAACACAGGAAGAAGAAAAGCTGGGTTAAGAATAGTGCATCGTTTGATAGTGAAGTTAGTAGGGATTAGGAGGGCTACCTCTGACGGTGGTTTTTGGGTCTCTTTAGGTCTTGCACTCTTACTGTAGAGATACCGTTTGACCTGTGAGACCTACCGTCGTGTGTTTTCTCCTGAGGGGGGTACCTTGCCTTGGATGTCCTGTTTTTCGCAAGACCGTTCTGGCTGCACTGGTGTCAATGAGGCAAGGGAGGGGCTATTTTAATTCCTCAAGAAAAAGTTGGACCTGGGCCGACACCGATTTGTCAACTTCCTATGAGGATTCATAGGAGTTACTTACCATGGTGGTGACAGGGGCGGAGGGACTCATCAGGAATGAACTGCCACCGACCTTTAGGTAATTGGGGACAGCTCCTCCTCCTCACGTGCCCCGTTTGGTGGCACTGGAAGCACCTGGGAGGGGGCCTATCCTTCCTGTGACCCAGATCCCTTGGTTTTTCGTGTGGGGTCTGGGACACAAGAACTTTGGCCTTGTCCTGTTTTCTCCTATCCATTTCCCTCTCTATTGCCGCAAGAGTGGAAAGGATAGCAGGGATAGACATCTCATTATATTCGGGTCGGGCCAGAACCAGCCTTTAACCCGAATTTTAATATTGATGCCTTCCAAAAATTTGGCCCGCAACAGAATGTGCGTCGCGGTCACCTTTACCCCCTTCAGTTGGAGCATCAGGTCCAACTTCCAGATCCGCATCCAGTGCCGTCTGCTTGCTTGAGACGGCGCCAGAAGCAGGCGCTTTCCTCATTAGGACCCTGGGTGAGCTTCATCATGTCTGTAGTAGAGGTAGCACCATGCATTTCTGGAAGCTTTGCCTTTAGCTGTGCACAAAACTCTTTGCCCCCTGAAGTCATTTCCTCATGAGTGGTTATATAGAGCACCCTGCAATCAATGCACTGGCCACTTCCATGCCCACCTTTGCCCGCAGGATCTGCACACAATCCGACCCGCTCATACCATAGCTGAACTGGTTTTGTCCAAACATTCGAGCAAATCATCTCGGATTGACCCGATAGTCCGGGAGCTCAGCCAGAATAGTGCGGATCTCTGCCGGGGTGAAGGGGACATGCCAAACTACCCGTTCCCCTAAGGTCCGCTCCCCCTGTGCGTTAGGAGGACCTTCAAATTGCTGCACCCTGACTGGATAGGCCTCGGTCCGGGAAGAGTGCAAGGGCTGACCCGGCTTCATCGGTGGGCTTAGATTAAGCACCTCGCTTACTGCACCTTCAGGTTTGAGGTCCCTCAGATCTTGGTATAGCTGGGGGGCAGGGGTCTGATCAGTGGCTCCTAGCGCTTTGATGCAATCCGCCCTGTTTCTTAACCGGGTGTCTATTCCCCTTGATTTGCAGATAGTCTGCAAATTGGCTGTTGAGAAGACTTCGTAGTTGGAAACAGAAGGAGCTGGGGTGAAGCAGGGGGAAGGGAGAGGAAGAGGCTGAGGCATAGCTATAGAAGACACGGAAGGTACGTCAAGAGTGACGTCACTAGCAGAAGAGACAGGTGCAGTTATACTTATCTCAGCCACTGTTGGTTGTTCGGGAACCCCAGCAGACCCTGATCCTGCCTTAGTAGAGTCAGCCCTGAAAGAGCTTCCTCCACCTCTGACACCGGATCCTCCTATTTTATTCCCTCTGGAGGCCAGGTATACATCACCTGGTTCTTCCGGACAGACACCAGTTTCTGTATGCCCTGCTTCCCTAAACCTGTGAAGCCATAGCTGTGCGATCTCTAGTTCTGACGCCTGCATCCGTGGTTCAAATTCAGAGATGAATTTTTCCCACCTCCATGCGTCAAATGTACCTTCCCGGGGAATTTCCCATCTGGTACCTAGAGATGAGCGAATCGAACATGACGAAGTGGAATTCGTTCCGAAGATTTGGAAAAATTCTATTCGCGACGAATCCGAAGATTAGCAAACTTCGGATGCACGAATCGAATTTTCCCAAAAATGGCGGCGACATGTGAGGCGACGGAGAAAATGGACAGAGAGGGACAGAGTTAGGGCCACAGAGACTTTAGGGCCACAGAATCGTTACTCAGGGACACAGAATCGTTACTCAGGGACACAGAATCGTTACTCAGGGGACACAGAATCGTTACTCAGGGACACAGAATCGTTACTCAGGGACACAGAATCGTTACTCAGGGACACAGAATCGTTACTCAGGGACACAGAATCGTTACTTAGGGCCACAGCTGTCCAAAGAATCGAAAATTTAAAGTGACATACACCCTTTTTTTTTTGGTGGCTGTCGTGCACAGTTGGTGCTGCAGTTTGCCGATTGTGCAAAATAAACTGACTTTCTGCTTCACAACCACTATTGTACGTTCAAAGAGTTAAATCCATTTACACGCCGGCTGGCGGTAATATTTTTTGGGTGATTAGTGCATTCCAGTGACAGAAACGTACAGTTTCCAGCCAACGGCAAGCTGCAATTGACCGATTGTGCTAAATAAACTGACTTTTCTGCTTCACAACCACTATTGTACGTTCAAAGAGTTAAATCCATTTACACGCCGGCTGGCGGTAATATTTTTTGGGTGATTAGTGCATTCCAGTGACAGAAACGTACAGTTTCCAGCCAACGGCAAGCTGCAAATTGACCGATTGTGTACAATAAACTGACTTTCTGCTTCAACAACCACTAGTGTACGTTCAAAGAGTTAGATGCATTTACACGCCGGGTGGCGGTAATATTTTTTGGGTGATTAGTGCATTCCCAGTGACATAAACGTACAGTTTACAGCCAACAGCAAGCTGCAATTGACCAATTGTGCTAAATAAACTGACTTTTCTGCTTCACAACCACTATTGTACGTTCAAAGAGTTAGATCCATTTACACTCCGGGTGGCGGTAATATTTTTTGGGTGATTAGTGTATTCCAGTGACATAAATGTACAGTTTCCAGCCAACGGCAAGCTGCAATTGACCGATTGTGCTAAATAAACTGACTTTCTGCTTCACAACCACACTATTGTTACGTTCAAAGAGTTAGATCCATTTACACGCCGGGTGGCGGTAATATTTTTTGGATGATTAGTGCATTCCAGTGACATAAACGTACAGTTTCCAGCCAACGGCAAGCTGCAATTGACCGATTGTGCTAAATAAAACTGACTTTCTGCTTCACAACCACTATTGTACGTTCAAAGAGTTAAATCCATTTACACGCCGGCTGGCGGTAATATTTTTTGGGTGATTAGTGCATTCCAGTGACAGAAACGTACAGTTTCCAGCCAATGGCAAGCTGCAATTGACCGATTGTGTACAATAAACTGACTTTCTGCTTCACAACCACTATTGTACGTTCAAAGAGTTAGATCCATTTACACGCCGGGTGGCGGTAATATTTTTTGGGTGATTAGTGCATTCCAGTGACATAAACGTACAGTTTCCAGCCAACGGCAAGCTGCAATTGACCGATTGTGCTAAATAAACTGACTTTCTGCTTCACAACCACTATTGTACGTTCAAAAAGTTAAATCTCCGGTTTTATTTTTGGGGTGCTTATTGAATTAAAGAGTATGTCAGACAACACGCAGAGGAGTGGCAGAGGAGGCAATGTTTCAGGAGCGAGCAGACGTGGCAGCAGAGGAAGGGGTCGAGGCAGCACTAGTCGCAGCCAGAGGCCAGTGCTCCCGGTGTCATCCAGCGGTCGTGTCTCCACCGACAAACCCTGCCGTCATCGATTGGTTGACTCGGTCGTCTTCCTCTTCCCAGGTCACCTCTGACACCTACAGCCAACGGTCGGTGGGTACGTCAGACACAACCGTTAGTTGGCATGGCCCGGGAGCAAGCCCACTGAAATCACGTGTCCTCGACCTGCCCCTGTCCTTTGGTGTTCCCTCACCAAGCGAAGTACGCATGCTGTGGGCTCAGCCCCACTGTACAGTGAGGAAGAGCTAACAGAGGGCGGTCAGGAACGGGGGGGAGACATCCGCCTCTTCAGCAGCCAGGCGAAGAAGTACTGGCGAGGAGAGTGGCTCGGTAGCCGGTCTAGAGACAGGTCTGTCTCCTGACCCACACGCAGCCGAGGGGGGTAGTAGTGACGCGGAGACCCTAATTGATGATGATGAGGCTGATCGCACTTGGCAGCCTCATCGTCATCAGGCTATTTGCTTCCGCATCATCAGGAGAAGAGGGTGCCAGCTTGCCAGCGAGCAAAAACAGTCGGTGGGTTGCCCAGGAGGCAGCAGGGTCGCAGCAGTGTCAGTGGAGCCAAACGGCCACGGAGTAGAGCACCAGCTCCACTGCAGCCTACCACCACGGCCAGTAGTGGTGCCGGTGTGCACGGAGGAAGTAGCAGTCAGCCAGTGAAGAGTAGCGGGGGGCAAAGTTTCCTACTCGGCGGTGTGGCAATTTTTCGTCAAGCCGCCCGAGGAAGTAAACGTAGCCGTATGTCGACTATGTGGCCAGAAAGTCAAGCGTGGCCAGGGGGCCAATGTTGGGACTACAGCGTTGCGTCAGCATATGCAGCGTCGCCATTCGGTGGCCTGGGAAAACCGTGATAAAGATACGGCGGTTCTGCCTGCCCCCAGCCCCCGCTCCATCACCCGCTCCGTTACTTGCTCCGTCACCCGACGTCAATCGCCCTCTATCAGCCAGTCAAGGCTCCAACACCTCTGCTGAGGGGAGTTGTCGCTCGTTGGCATCTTCCGCTCGTTCAGATGCTCCTTCTCCTGCTACTCCTCTTCACGGATTCCGTCAGCAGTCTTTCTTGGAATCCGTTTCCAAGAGACAACAGTTTGCGAGCACGCACCGACGGTGCAGAAGCTGAACGTCCTCCTGTCCAAGTTGCTGGTGCTGCAGTCCCTCCCTTTCCAAGTGGTGGACTCAGCACCTTTCCGAGAAATGATGGCTTGTGCCGAGCCGCGGTGGAGAGTGCCAAGCCGGCATTTCTTCTCCAAAAAGGCAGTGCCAGCCCTGCATTCACATGTAGAAGAGATGGTGGGCCAGTCTTTGAGCATGTCGGTCTCTGCCAAAGTGCACGGCAGCGCCGACGTGTGGAGCTGTAACTATGGTCAGGGACAGTACATGTCATTTACGGCCCACTGGGTGAACGTGGTGCCGGCACAGCCGCACCAGCAACTTGGACAGGTCACGCCGCTTTTGCCTCCACGTTTGCACGTCCTTGGTCCAGCAAAGATGTCCGCCTCTACCACCTCTTCTTCCGCCGTGTCCTCAGCGCCACCCCCGTGCCAAGTCCCATTACCCGACCGGCATATCACATTGTGCAGGGCGCAACGGTGTCACGCTGTGCTGCACCTGGTATGCCTTGGCGAACGTAGTCACACAGGGGAGGAACTTCTGAGTGTAATGAACAGAGAAATCGACAGATGGCTGTCTCCGCGCAAAACTGAAAATCGGAACCATGTTGACCGACAACGGAAAGAACATGGTGTCTGCTCTGCGTCAAGGAAGGTTGTGCCATGCGCCATGCATGGCTCACGTGTTCAATCTGGTTGTCAAGCGGTTCCTAAAATCCACCATCCCACTGCAAGACATCCTTAAAATGTCACGTAAACTTTGCATGCATTTCAGCCATTCCTACACCGCAAAGCACACCCTCCTTGAGCTGCAGCGGCAGAACGGAATTCCACAGCATCGCCTGATCTGCGACGTTGCAACAAGGTGGAATTCAACCCTACATATGTTAGACCGCCTTTACGAACAGCGAAAGGCCATCACCGATTTCCTGATGTTACAAGCGGATAAAGGTACTCCCCTGTGTAACTTAGATGTCAGCCATTGGCAGCTCATGCGTGACACCTGCCGCTTGCTCAGGCCCTTTGAGGAGGCCACGCTATTCGTGAGTCGGCAGGACTATGGGATGAACGACGTCATTCCTCTGTTGCACGTCCTGGAACAAATGCTGTTAACAATGGCTGGTCAGGGTGCGGTAGACGTGGCGCACAGATCTCAACGCCACATGACCCCTGTGGGGGCAGGACAGGAAGAAGAGGAGGAGGTAGAGGAGACATTGGTGCTCAGGAATTATTGAGTGAAAATGGTGGTGGTTTTTCCACTCAGCGGACAGGAGTGGAGGAGCAGGAGCATCTGGTAGAGGAGGAGGAGGAGACAGAGGACCCCCCCCGCGGCCCCAGACGCACCGTGGCAGTATGCTGTGGAGATGGAGGCAGGGAGTCCCTCGCATTCCTTGGCACAAATGGCCCATAGCATGCTCGGTTGCTTGCGTAGCGACAGCCGAATAATAACCATCAGACAGAGGGATGACTTTTGGCTGTCCACCTTGTTGGACCCTCGCTACCGTTCAAAAATGGTGGCCTTTTTCACACCTGCTGAGAGGGAGGCCAAAATAAAGTACTATAAAAACCAGCTATGTAGTCAGTTGGTCTCTGCCTTTTCTGCGCCAACGTCCATCCTCAGACACTGTGGGCCCTGTTGCGCTCGCGTTCCGCTGCCATGGCAGCAGGGGAGGGGTGGGGTGGTAGGAGCAGGAGTGGCAGCTCCACCAGCAGCGGCTGCCTCAGTCTGCAGTCATGATTGTTATAGTGTGTATAGTCTTATAGGCCGCTGTCTTTTACAACTTTATAATTCCATGCAGTATATAGCCCTATCGGCCACTTTCTGGCATCCAGTTGCTGTAGCCCCCATCACCACACTGTGCCACGGGCCCCTGTACCGCCTTCTCATACTGCTGCCAGATCCATCCTCTGCCATGTGCGTCTTTGTCGTCTGCTCACGCTGCTGGGTTCCAGTTTTAACCCTAGGCCTGTGTTATGGCTTCCGAATACTGCTGCCTCCACCGCCACCCTGCGCCATGTGCCTCTGTCGTCTGCTCACGCTGCTGACGGCTTCCGCTTTTTAAACTAGTCCTGTGTATGTCTTCCGAATACTGCTGCCTCCACCGCCACCTGCGCCATGTGCCACTTTCGGGTCTCCTCACACTGCTGCCAGGTCCATACTGATTCATGGCCCCCTGTACCGGCTCCTCATGAACGTGGTTCAGCGGGTTTGCATCACTTAACGGCAAATCGTTGACAAATGCTGGGACGTTCAGTGTTGTGCGCATTAAGCCAGACACCAAAGGGCAGCACAGACCTGTTATTACTCGCTCAAGCATGGCTGAACAAAACCAGTCTCTACCACAAATTGGACCCAGACCTGCCCAGGGTCTCGTAACTAGATTGCACGGAGGAGTAGAGTCCGTTATCGGAATTAAATAGACAAAACGCCACACCAAAAAGAGTGGCCATTTCCAACACTTATTCCAGAAAGAGGAACAACCCGTTTCATATACGGCCCGTAGACGTTTCACGTCTGCCACATTCAGTCGATTTAAGACGCAAGCTCCACTTCCTGTGGTCTCTGACCGTCGATATACCTTTAAGTGTCAGCTTTGAAGCTATATTCCCTCCGGAGCACTGACACTGGTGCCCTTCCGTCAACATGCCTTTAAGTTTCAGTTTTCAACCATATTCCCCACAGAAGCCAAACTCTTGGGTATCCCAGAAGCTGCTCAGCGGGTCAGGGCAATAAAGCTCCCGGTTCGCAGGTTGTTCCGTCTTATGGATGGAAGTACGACGGTATATGATCTTCTTCGCACCCACGGCATCACCTCATAGAATCTCTGCATTGCATCTGCAATCACAACGCTGACTTCCCGGATCGCCACTCAGCCATTGGACTCTTGATAGTCGTCTCCCCACACTGCTGCTGGGGGGACTTTTTAACCTAGGCCTGTGTATGGCCTTCAATTGAAGCTGCTTCCGCTCCGCCACTCTGCCATTGGACTCTTGATAGTCGTCTCCCCACGCTGCTGCTGGGGGGACTTTTTAACATAGGCCTCTGTATGGCCTTTAATTGAAGCTGCTTACGCTCCGCCACTCTGCCATGGGCCTCTTGGGTATCCCAGAAGCTGCTCAGCGGGTCAGGGCAATAAAGCTCCTGGTTCGCAGGTTGTTCCGTCTTATGGATGGAAGTACGACGGTATATGATCTTCTTCGCACCCACGGCATCACCTCATAGAATCTCTGCATTGCATCTGCAATCACAACGCTGACTTCCCGGATCGCCACTCAGCCATTGGACTCTTGATAGTCGTCTCCCCACACTGCTGCTGGGGGGACTTTTTAACCTAGGCCTGTGTATGGCCTTCAATTGAAGCTGCTTCCGCTCCGCCACTCTGCCATTGGACTCTTGATAGTCGTCTCCCCACGCTGCTGCTGGGGGGACTTTTTAACATAGGCATCTGTATGGCCTTTAATTGAAGCTGCTTACGCTCCGCCACTCTGCCATGGGCCTCTTGGGTATCCCAGAAGCTGCTCAGCGGGTCAGGGCAATAAAGCTCCCGGTTCGCAGGTTGTTCCGTCTTATGGATGGAAGTACGACGGTATATGATCTTCTTCGCACCCACGGCATCACCTCATAGAATCTCTGCATTGCATCTGCAATCACAACGCTGACTTCCCGGATCGCCACTCAGCCATTGGACTCTTGATAGTCGTCTCCCCACACTGCTGCTGGGGGGACTTTTTAACCTAGGCCTGTGTATGGCCTTCAATTGAAGCTGCTTCCGCTCCGCCACTCTGCCATTGGACTCTTGATAGTCGTCTCCCCACACTGCTGCTGGGGGGACTTTTTAACCTAGGCCTGTGTATGGCCTTCAATTGAAGCTGCTTCCGCTCCGCCACTCTGCCATTGGACTCTTGATAGTCGTCTCCCCACACTGCTGCTGGGGGGACTTTTTAACCTAGGCCTGTGTATGGCCTTCAATTGAAGCTGCTTCCGCTCCGCCACTCTGCCATTGGACTCTTGATAGTCGTCTCCCCACACTGCTGCTGGGGGGACTTTTTAACCTAGGCCTCTGTATGGCCTTCAATTTAAGCTGCTTACGCTTCGCCACTCTGCTATGGGCCCCTGTACCGCCTCCTCTTGCTGCTGCCAGGTCCAGAGTGTGTCATGGGTCCCTGTACGGCCTCCCATTGCTGCTGACTTCATCGCCAGACTCTGCCATGTGCCACTTTCAGGTCTCCTTACACTGTTGGTGGGTTCCATTTTGTGATAGGGTGCTGTATGGCCTTCCATTGCTGCTGCCTCCACCGCCACCCTGCGCCATGTGCCTCTGTCGTCTGCTCACGCTGCTGACGGCTTCCGCTTTTTAACCTAGGCCTGTGTATGGCTTCAGAATAATGCTGCCTACACCGCCACCCTGCGCCATGTGCCTCTGTCGTCTGCTCACGCTGCTGCCAGGTCCATACTGATTCATGGCCCCCTGTACCGGCTCCTCATGAACGTGGTTCAGCGGGTTTGCATCACTTAACGGCAAATCGTTGACAAACGCTGGGACGTTCAGTGTTGTGCGCATTAAGTCAGACACCAAAGGGCAGCACAGACCTGTTATTACTCGCTCAAGCATGGCTGAACAAAACCAGTCTCTACCACAAATTGGACCCAGACCTGCCCAGGGTCTCGTAAGTAGATTGCTCGGTGGAGTAGAGTTCGTTATTGGAATTAAACTGTGAGGGACTTTTAAACCTAGGCCTGTGTATGGCCTTCAATTGAAGCTGCTTCTGCTCCGCCACTCTGCCATTGGACTCTTGATAGTCGTCTCCCCACGCTGCTGCTGGGGGGACTTTTTAACATAGGCCTCTGTATGCCCTTCAATTTTAGCTGCTTACGCTCCGCCACTCTGCCATGGGCCCCTGTACCGCCTCCTCATGCTGCTGCCAGGCCCGTAATCTGCCATGGGCCCCCGTACCGACTCCTCATGCTGCTGCCAGGCCCGTAATCTGTCATGGGCCCCTGTACCGCCTCCCTCATGCTGCTGCCAGGTCCAGAGTGTGTCATGGGTCCCTGTACGGCCTCCCATTGCTGCTGTCTCCATCGCCACACTCTGCCATGTGCCACTTTCAGGTCTCCTCACACTGCTGGTGGGTTCCATTTTGTCATAGGGTGCTGTATGGCCTCCCATTGCTGCTGCCTCCACCGCCACACTGTGGCTCCACACTCTGGTTTTGGCCCCGTGACTGCCCAAATGAGTGAAGTGTGCGCGGTGATTCTAAGATCGACGGCACTCATCTGCATGTCATACTGACTGACAGTATTATTTCTCTTCCCCAGCAGACTCCAAGGGCATTTAAATTAAAGGTACAGTGTTCTGCACTAATATAAAAGGCTCTCTGAAGCCTAGAAACACCCTTTTTATAAGTTAAATTCGCAGCGAATATATTCGGCTCGAAGCGAATTTATTCCGCGAATTCGGCGAATCAGCCGAACCGAATTTTTGAATAATTCGCTCATCTCTACTGGTACCCTTCGACCATTTATTCCATCTTTTGAGGGGTTCTGTAGACTTCCCCCCCCAAACTCACCTTCATCAGCTGTGCAGCTGTCCTCACCCTGAAGAGGGCTGGTTCCCCCTCTCTCTTCATGGACTGACTACTGTCCATCGTGACTAGTCACTGGTATATATCCCGCATCCGGGTACCTGTTTACCCCTTGGAGCACGCGGTGGGATCCTACCGAGAGGCCTGATTCCACCACTTTCCCAGCGTAATTTATGTGATTCTTATCGATCACCCGAAGCGCATCAAGTGGCGGTCAGACTGAGAGCACACCTCCCACAGCGCAATTTATGTGATCCTGACCACCCGAAGTGTTTGTGGTAACCAGGCTAAGCGTTACACTTCCCTTGACCGCCCACTCGCACAGCGTAATTTATGAGGTTCTCATCACCCACTGTGTTTGGCAGGCCACACCGCACAATGATGAAAGTGGCTTTTCTCTCCCTGCACACAGTAGCACACAGTAGGTAACACAAGTCAAAACAAAAGGAGGGGTTCTTTGCTTGTTACTTAGGGGTCACTGGTTGCCCGCAAAACCTGCTAAACTGACCTTTAGGAAAATCGTGTAAAGAAAAAACTTTCCTAATACACACAGAAAAAGCCCTTTTCAACCTGAAAAACCGTTAAAAAGGACAAAGTGGAGCCTTATGAAAAACTCGGGATGTTTAGCGGTAAAACAACTACACAGATGTAAACCGAGAAACTGCGCCAAAAATAACCCTGGTTGTCAACATGAAAATCGCTCCTACCAGCGCCGCTAAACGATCCGCGCTACACACACGATCTTCGCTGCAACCGCCTAAAACCGTTTACACAAAAAGTCTGCTGGACGCGGAACACGCGACGCAGCAGCTTAAAACAAACCCGCTTTACAAAAGGAACTACTTTTAACAAGAGAAACACAATCACTATACAAGAAATCTATGCGCAAAAACCCAAACTTCACCGCGCTCACTAAATGTGGAACACGTGAGGGGAAAACTCACTTAACACACTTTAAATTGGCTGGCAATACGCAAATTTAAAGATAAAAGTAAACAACTTAAACTGTAAAAATTTGGATTAAAATCACAATATGGGTCAAATGCATATAGAAAAACTGCATACACATTGCATAGAGATCATTGAACCTCAAAGCGAAAACTCGCAAAACGGCGTTCCCGAGTGATCAAAAACCAAAATGGCGGAGAAACCACATGGCAGTCAACAAAATAGTTGCCAAACAAAGGGATATGTGGAGCAGTCAACAAAATGGCCGCCAACAAAGAAGCACACGTGGTAGTCAAGAAAATGGCCACCAACAAGAAGCACACATGTGACCCTAGCCTCAAAATTGCCTCTAACCTCTTACATAAAACAGACTTTTGGACAAAACATACACTGGACAATTACACACAACAATATACAGTACACATACAGCACAAATTTGGCACAATCACAGAACGGACATGGAAAAACCAACATATCACACTAACATGCGCATGTAACAGAAAAGACCCATGCTGCATGCTTGCTGGGAGCAGTAGTACCGACAAAACACTGCACAGACTATATGCACACAAAGGTCTTACAACAGTTAACGATTAATCTAAACCTTTCAGCACTGTAATAATTACCTCACCTGGAGGGAGGTAAAGCAATTACCACAGTACTTACAACCCGCAAATACTTACCTAAACTATGCAAAAACTTTATCCCGCTAAAACATATACCCGTTTAATTTTTGGTTGAAAGATTTTTAAACTTGACCAAATCCAGCCAACCAAACCCACCCTCTGCTGTTTTTTGCAGAGAAAAACCCTTGTCTTTCACCCACAAATCAAAATTTTAGGACAACTAGGTCCTTGCTAAGCGGAATTTACGTTGGCTAACAGAGAGCGAAATTAGCCACGCGAACGTACAAAAAGCGATCCTCTTAACGGTAGAGAGACCTGAAATGTGCCAGCATACTTTTTGCTAGTTCATGATAGCTCATTCCCCCCTCTTACTTGGTTAGCTATCGCAGAATTCGCGTTAGAATCCACTGGCTCGCCAAATGTCTTGGAAATTAGTTTTCAACAAATTTTTCCTTACCGTGAGTAGCTCTTTTGAGATGTGGGGAAAAATGGAGCTCCCGTGACCCAGGAATAATCAGATGATACTCTCAGGTTGGAGGTTGAATTTACTCTGTCTCTGGGTCTAAAAAGCACACACACCCCCCCCCACATGGGGGGGTCAGGTCATTCCCCTCCCACAGAACAATGTATAGGGGGTGTCCATACATGAGAATGTACATCCTGTTTGGAGTGTAGCGTTTCCTCTTTTCTATACTGAAAACCAGTTAAACCAGTCCTCCCCTCCCCCATAAGCTCTCTGTGGAGAGCAAGCTTCCCATCCTTTACATGCTATCAGCTCCTAGTAGTATGTTCACTCTCTGTACAAGCATCCCTTAGATTAAACAGTGCCAGTCTGTATCTGAATGGGCCCGATACGATCTTTATTAAAACACATCCATCCAGATACAGTTCAGGTCGGTAGTGGCTTGTAAGATATATACATGAGCCTACACGCGGAGTTCGCACTGCCTGGCCATACGAAGTCCATGTGGTACTATGCTGCTGATATGTGTATACAGGCCCCCAGCCTACCGCCGGCGGCATTCGCATCTATAAGCGCAGATCTGCCATCTCATCCATTACCGAGCTGAGTACTGTAATATATACATTGTAAATGCGCATGGCCTTCAGAGCTTTAATTAAGCCACACGAGAGACATATGAATAACACTAATATATGACACATTTAAAGTTCAACCTGTAAATAGAAAATTTCCATGACAGTGAAGGGAATGGCGAGTGCAATGTTCCCCAGAATAAAGTACCTGGAGCCGCCACACCCCTCACTTTAGAGATGTCCTAAAGTGCGGGAAAGTCTCTCAGAGAAGTTCATTTTCTGTAGAAACCAGAGATCTCATATGGGGGAGAAGTATTCCTGTTTTGAGTGCAGGAAATGTTTTTCAAGTAAGTCCTATTTTTATATGTACCAGTGATAATACAAGAGGAAGCAGCCATACCCTTGTTCAAAGTGCGGGAAGTGTTTTTCTCAGAAGTCCAGCCTGCATATATATCAGAGACCTCACATGAGGAAGATGTTATATCCCTGTTCTAAGTGCGGGAAATGTTTTCTCAGACAAAACTAGACTTTATATATATCAGAGATCTAACACAGATGAAAAGCCATATGTCTGTCCTGAGTGCGGGAAATACTTTTCAGTGAAGCTTAGTCTTCACGCACATCATAGATCTTACACGGAGAAGTTGTATACCTGTTTGGAGTGCGGGAAATGTTTTTCTAGATCCTTCAGGCCTTTGGGTGTCCATAGAGCCCAATCAATGGATCCAAAAGGCCTCCTGGTTGCAGACCCTTTTTGTGCTTTTTGCCAGTATCTGAATCACCAATATTAGCTTCAATTACAAAAACTTTCAGGCCCTCTGGGTTTTGTTATGGACTTCTGCAAAGTGGCAGGACACGGAATGTTCATTAAATCATTTTATGATATTTTTCTTATGTGCTCTTCAAATGGAGTCCTCAGAGTACAGAAAGTGTTGTCCACATGAAGAAGGCCACACAGGCAGATAAGACCATATACTACATTCTAGACACCACAGTTAATAAACTATTGAATCATATAGGCCTTCATATCTGTACTGCTCACTTCTTTTTTCCTATGCCAAATGAATTGACACGATCCACAATTTGCTACCTTGCAGCAATACTTCCCTTTTTGGTCAAAAAGGGATGTCCAGACGGATGTGGACTTTCTCCTCTTAGCTGGTTTCACCCTGCTTGGAGCAATGTGGCTTCTTGGATCTCTCAGCGTACTAAAGATCACACAGGGTCTATCTGAAATGAATTTCGTAAGTTGAGAATCCTGTTTAAGAATAGGGCAATACTTGGTAAACATCCTCTGTACATTGAAGGTCTTACTACTGTATCTAGTGCTAAACGGGACTAAATCTTGTGTAGTCGTCACTCTGGCTTCTCTCTCTTCCAGTTGATGTTTACTGTCATATTCTGTCAGATATTTCTCAAAGGCTTGTCGAATCACTTTGGCATCATAGCTTTTTTTCTGAAAATGTTTTCTTGGGCAGCGTTGCAGATTAAGGAGGACTTCAACAAAGGTGGAAGATTATGAAACAAATCCTGATCTTTAAGTCCTCCTTAATCTGCAACGCTGCCCAAATGGGACATTACGGATCCATCTAGGATGTTGATGGCTCTTCACATGCAAAAAAAAGAGTTGCCCGAAATCGCTATAAAGTGGGTCCTAGAGATTATTCTCAATTCAGGATGAAAGCTTAACTCCAAATCCAAAAAAAACAACTTGTTGCTATCCATCCATCATAAGTAAATTCAACGTTAAATGGACTGGCTTGACAATAGGCTGCGAACGTCTGTAAAAGTGAGTAATGAGGATGTCTTCAATATAACGAGCATAGAGGGCCAGGTTTGACCCAAATTGGTCATTCCTCTAAATGAGAAAGTGTTCCCAGTAACCCATGAAGAGATTCGCATAACTTGGGGCAAATATGGCCCCTATGGCGGTACCCTTGATTTTTCTAGAAAATTCTCCCATAAAGGTGAAATAATTATGGGTCAGAGTGTACTCTATACTTTGCAGACTAAAATCAACCTAAGCTGAATGTATGCTGTTATCTTGTGCAAGGAAAAATTGGACTGCCTGTAAACCAAAGTAATGATGGATAGATGTATAGAGAGATGAAACGTCCAGACATAGCCACTTATAGAAAGCCTGCCAGCTAGAGTTGGGTAAAATATCCAAAATGGGGCCAGAATCCTTCATATAGTAAAAAAAAAAAAAATGATCAATATAGCTACCAATGTTACTAGTTAATCCCCACAATTATAGGCCTTCCGGGTGGATTGATAGCATGTTTGTGGATTTTAGGAATATGGTAAAAGTGGGGTGTTTGGGGTTATAGACAGAAGAAATTGCCACTCTTGTTTTTGAAGAATTAGAAGGTGGTGTCTCCTCTACAAACTCCCTCCCCCTTTTCTCTGCCCCCTGATAGTAGGTGTGCTGTTAAATTAACTAATGGTGTTTAA